AAGGCTGGAGGAAAATTCTAGAATAAAGTGCTCATTAGAGAGCCATACGTTTTCTCCTGTCTCCTTACCTCTCTGCACTGCCCTCTTCATATCCACAGCATTGGAAATGTTTTTAGCAACACACCACACTGAACCACCACACATTATGTGATTCTCTTGGTGGAAAACCAAACACTGCACAAAAACTGTGGTTTTCTAGTTCATGCTTCTGGATGGCAGATAATTCAAAATAAGCTGATAGGAGTAGCCAAGAGAGATTTAATCTTCTGTTTGGAAAACGGTTTCTATATAAGTGAGTAGAGGAACCTTTAAGAATTATTCATGTTTAGGGGCGCCTGGATGGCTCAGGGGGTTAAGCCTCTGCCTTTAGCTCAGGTCATGATCTCAGGGTCCTGGGATCAATCCCCGCATCAGGTTCTCAGCTCTGCAGGGAGCCTGCTTCCCCCTCCCTCTCTCTGCCTGTCTCTGCCTACTTGTGATCTCTGTCAAATAAATAAATAAAAATTTTTAAAAAAAGAATTATTCATGTTTACATATATGGACCAGAATGCTATGTCCCTTATCAAATAGGCTTCAAATCAGCAAAAATGATAATATTTTACTTAATAAGTTTTTTAATCCCTCTGTTAACATTTTGGAATACATCATTTTAATGCACATCTGCAAATTTGTAATCACTTCATGTGAGACAAGGAATGCTTAACAAGGCAACCAGGGGCGCCGGGGGTGGCTCAGTGGGTTAAGCCTCTGCTTTTAGCTCAGGTCATGATCTCAGGGTCCTGGGATCAAGCCCCACATCAGGCTCTCTGCTCAGCAGGGAGCCTGCTTCTCTCTGCCTGCCTGCCTCTGCCTGCTTGTGATCTCTCTCTGTGTCAAATAAAGAAATAAAATCTTGAAAAAAAAAAAAAGGCAACCAAAAAACATTTACAGTTTTCAGACAGGAGTTTCCCTCACGTTTGGATAAGGATGCAAATTCAACTTCATAATAAATTACAGTGCATCATAAAGATTAAATACACTCAGGGATTGCGTTCTCTCCTCCCTCCACCCTATCCTACACACAGCTGCCCGACTAATCCTCCAAAAACACCAATTTTCATGTGCTGCTTTTCAAAACTAGCTTCCTGGCTTCCTGTTGCCTGAAAAAAATAGTCTCAAATGTTTTTGTCTGGCATTCAGGGCTCTCTGTGATGGGCACCCTGGCCAACACATCACTCTGCTCATTTGTTCCACCACACACAAGTGGATCTCGGGCTAGTTTTCAAAGACCCACCTCCCCACCGACCCAGCAAAGGTCTCGTGCGTCTTCTAAACTCACGGCTCACTCAGTGATGTTCTCAAAAGCCATTAGTGGGTGACATGCCAACTGCTAGAGTCAGGAGCCAGGGTGAAGTTGCCGCCGCCTAACTGCATGGACTGAAAGCGGGAACGTTGATTCTCCAGGAGAAACCTGGGGCATTGTTATGAGAAGGCAGACGGCAAAACCACCCAGGTCCCCTATGACTGCTTTAACACACTCTGGACAAAATTTAAGGAGACAAGCGAACGTATTAACTCCCACTTAGGCTGTAGCAAGCAAATGCAACTGAGGGAAGGCATTGTCTCGTTCTGGAACAAACCATTTAGTTCCAGCTACTTTTATAAATAGATCAGACCCTGTCCAGGAGCCCACTTAGCTGGGTTCATTTGTATACAATGTCCATACCCTCAAGAATATTAACATTTTATCTCAGATTGCATTAATTTAAATAAACTTAACGAAAATGGTATAAAATGAACAAAACACCATATTCTGTGATGAATCAAATGAAATACATTTTCAATTACTGTTTTCCCCATTTAAAGATAAAATTTCTGATAACTGTCATTATTTGTGAAAAGACACAAGACCAACAGTTTGTGTGTATTTGTGTGTTTTGGTTTTTGGTTTTTTTCTTCCCCTTAAGGCTATAGCCATATTGTCACTAATAAAGATCTCAAATTTGCCTGGAAGCTTTCATGGCAAATTCTCAGTCTGAGGGTAGTCACCACCCAGCCAAATGGCTTTATACATCATCAGTGCCTTTCTTCCACACCCATTCTCTTCCTGGTTTAAACATTAGTTACCCTGGTTCTACACTGACACAGTATTTGCATATCTCTCCTGTCCATAACTCCTAAAAGTTAGGGACCTCTCACTTTGGTTTCCCCAGGGCTTGACATTTTATTTGATGCTTGGGGGGCAATGGGCAGTTCAAGAAGTATGTTAATACTATCACTCAATGTATTGATCTATGCTATGCACCAACAGTATAATAAATATCGTTCATTTCTTGTAACAAAGGCAGTAGCAACTTCTCCCAAGGGACGGAATTCCAAGGACAGAATGAAGGCAGGAAGGGAGCTAGTATATTTGTACCTACTTTGTGAGAGACTCTGGTTTAGGTATTTTTATATATACATTATGCCACTGAACTGTCACAATCCTGCAAATTCTTACACGCTTGGGTTTATATGTAGCAAGTTTAGTAAGCCACCCAAATTCACAGTGACAGGCCCGTGAGTCAAATCCGGCATGCTTGACTCCATGATTGTCAAGTCCACTAGCCCCATATATCATGAGTCAGATTCATGAGTATGTAGGTGCTATCAGGAAATGTCAAAAATGCCCATTTCGGGGACACATGGATGGCTCAGTTGGTTAATTGTCTACCTCTAGCTCAGGTCATGATCCCAGCATCCTGGGATCGAGTCCCCCATCAGGCTTCTTGCTTAGCCAGGAGCCTGCTTCCCACTCTGCCTGCCTCTCCCTCTGCTTGTGCTCTCTATCTCTCTGACAAATGAGTAAATAAAATCTTTTTTAAAAATCTTGTAAAAAGGGGCACCTGGGTGGCTCAGTGGTTAAAGCCTCTGCCTTCAGCTCAGGTCATGATCTCAGGGTCCTGGGATCGAGTCCCGCATCGGGCTCTCTGCTCAGCAGGGAGCCTGCCTCCTCCTGTCTCTCTCTGCCTGCCTCCTCCTGTCTCTCTCTGCCTGCCTCTCTGCCTACTTGTGGTCTGTCAAATAAATAAAAAATACCTTAAAAAAAAAAAATCTTGTAAAAAATGCCCATTTTAAAGAGTGTTTTAAAACACTGGACAGCAATAGAAGCGAAAGCAGAATGACATAATGTAACGACAGATAGTTTATATGGGAGCCCTTTGGGTAATCTGGTGGATGAATGTTTTTAAATTAGTTTTTCGTAAACTGCAAAAAAAGAAAAGCACTCCCATTTATAGTGTACACTTTATAGTTCACAAAGCACGTGGCAACAATAAAGATAATGATAGGTTACGGTTACAATTCATAGAAAAGGAGGTACAGGGAAATTGAATGAAAGGGAATAACAAAGTAGGTCCATAAGTCAATCTTCCTTGTAAACAAATTAACCCGAAAGTGCGTTTCTGCCACCTCTCTCCTGTTTGATATGATAAAGAATGACCACGATACATGAATTATAGTTTGGGGTTTTGAAAAGCAAAACAGCTTTATACCAACACTTGAGCTTTTTTTGCTAACAAGATAGCTCGATTTGATATGCAGTTCCTGACAACCAACTTCAGAAATAATTCCATCTTCATGAGAAGTCAGAAAGAACCACAAACCAAACCTCAAAATAGATTCAAGGAGAAAATACTCTTAAAAAAATTTCCTTTCCTATCAGAAGCAGACCAAAGGGAAGTTTATCCTCCCACTAACAAAGTCCCCAGAAAGCTTCATCTAAAAGGTTGTACTTTCTAAAAACACCCAGCAGGACCTTCTTCTCTGGGCCTGGTATTTCTTCAATGGCCTATTCCAGAGAATAAGACACTAAACTACAAAGCGCCATGGGCCTCAGAACCACGAAAGAAATGATGAGGGGCACAAAGCAAGCCTCTGGTCACCAAGAGGGTATGTAGACGTTTGTGCTTTTCTGCATTTTTCAAAGCTGAGTTTTTAGCTGGAGGCCGCTCCTTTATGATAAATTGCTGACACCGTATAGTAAAAGCTATTATATGATCTTTTACAAACCATTTCCTATTTTTGCATTCACACGTGCCAAGACAGACACGGATTATTTAAAACCCTGAAGAGAGGGCTATTACATTTAAATTGCCTGTAACCTTCGTGTAATAGATTTATGATTGATGATAGATTTAGTTAAAATATAACTATTTTAAATATATATTCTCGGTAAACGATTCCAACCTTTGCTCACTTAAGTAACTGGTGCATAATCCCTTTTCAATTAAACCGTAGTGCTGCTTTTCTTTTAAGGACCAATTCCGCGTTTCTGAGAGAACCCCAAGCTATTTTTCTAGAATGGCCGTATGCGTATGTATCAGGCGTCCTCTTTTCACTCCCTTTGTGGAGCACCTACCCTGGAGGTCATGTAATAACCAATGACCAAAACAAAAAGCAAAACAAAACTAACAAAACCCATCCAGATCGAAGTTATTCGCGTGTGCCATCATGCAACGCAGACCCTGCCTGAAGACGAGGAGACTGCTTAAATAGATCGCGGGCAGGGTCTCAGCCCAGGCCTGTGCTGGGGAAGCTGGTTCCCGGCTTCGGGCGCGATTAGGAAGCCAGCAAAGTGACCCGAGAGTGCAGCCCGGGTTTAGGGCTGATGATCTTTTAGCAGCCAGGCCACGCGCGGACACCCGCTCGAGGATCCTGGGCACCTAGCTGGGAGGCCGGCCAGCGCTGGCGCTGGAGACGCTCGGAGCCACGGCCCGGGCCCGCCCCTCAGGAGGGAGGGTGGAGGCGGCGGCGCGGAGAAGGGGCTTTGCTAATTGCCGAAGCAGGAAGTGAGTTCGCGGAGGGCGCGGCGGAGAGTCTGGGAGGAGGTGGAGGGGCTGGCGGGAGAGGGGCGCGCAGCGCCGCGGTGCTGTGCTGTGGACAAGTCGGGACTGTAGGACCTTCCGGACTCGCCGCTTGTGGCTCTCGCGCTCCAGCCCAGTCCCCGAAGCCGCGCAGTGCCGCTCAGGCGCCCGGCTGGCCCTCCCCGCCCAATGGCTTCTCCGGACGACCCTCCGCGCGCAGGTAAAGTGACACCGCGCCGCGCCCTCACCTGGAGCGGGAAGCGCGGGTCGCGAGCTCGCGGGGGTGTCGAGGCCCAGTCTCCCGCGAACCCCGGGGCACCGGGACCACCCCGGATACCGACACCGCGCCGCACCCGGGTCCGCACGGGGTTGGGCCGGGGACGGCGCCGCGCCAGGTGTCCCCCGCGAGCCGGCGCGCTAGCCCCCATCGTTCGGCACCCCCACGCGGGCTTGCCGAGGACCCCCCCCTTCACTCGTCCTGCGAGGTGGCCCCGCCACTTTTGTTCTGGACTTGGGATCCCAGGTTGAAACTAGTCCCTCAAACCTCCCTGGCAGCATGGAGCGCAGGGAGGGATTCTCGGTTTTTCTGCCCTGGCTCTTCCTTTCTCCCCACTCACATGCCTTCTCGCGTCCCTTTCCTCTCCTCATTTTCACTTTTATTAAATGGTTTTGTTCTGTATGTTGACCCGCAGAGCTATTTCATGAACGAATATACACGAAACCGAGAGCCGGAGCCCACCTGTGAGAGCCCACCTGTAGAGGCCTTTAATTAGAATGGTCTCTGGTTCTAGCCTCAATTTAGAATACTGCGTGTACCTGAGGACTGAGTCCAGATGTTTCTTTCATTTCTTACTTGAATTTGAAATCCTCCTCAGACTTAAGCTTCCAGGATTTCTTCCGTCCTTGCTCTCCCACTGTCTTGGCGGGGATCCGCCATGAGTATTGAACACAGGAATGAATGAATGATATATACCCCAGATCGCTGGGTTTTTTTTCTTGTTTTGCTGAGGTTGGAAAGGCTAGGGAGAGACCCCCCCTGTTCACAGATACAGAGCTGTATGCAGTTGCTTAGATAAACGTGTTCCCCACTTAATTGCTTGGGCATTGAACATTCCGCCTTTAATCTGTGGCTTGAGCGGTTAGGAGGAGACAATCTGGAGGTGAATCAGAAGATGGCTGAATCCGCATGGTGGTGGGCTGGGTTTGGGAGATTTTCCTGGAGATTCAAAAGAAAGATCTAAATTCTTCCAGTGGGGAGTGGTAAACATTTTATCGATGGGAGATGGAAAATAAATAGTCTGGTTAACCTTTCCCTCCCCTCAAAACCCATTATTTGAAAACAAAAAGGGAAGTGAAGGGAGAAATCCTCCCACTCCCATCCCCACTCACCTCCATAGCCACCTCCTCTTCCAAGAACCTAACAGACAAGGTGCCAAGAAGTATTAGGTAACAGCAGTGGTCTCAGATCTCATTCAAGGATCATGGTGAAAGGCATTCAAAGAGATTGTGGGGGCATAGGGATCCAATGAAGGGGGACAAGTTTAAGGTTTGCCTGGTCCCCTAAAAATTAATGGCACTAGAGAAGATGAGCCTTCGGAACTATAGCTTAATGGCTACAATGTGTAAAAAGCTTCAATGAGTCATGGTGGGAAGAGGCCACGAGGGCAGCAAATACAGTCTTAGATGATGTTATTAATAGCACTACAGGGTCTAGATTTCCTGTGGTGGTATTCTTGGCCAGCCCAGACCCGCCAAAGTGGATACTCACTGTTGGGTCCGTTATCAAAGGAACGAGACTGAGATAAAGTTACGCAAAGCCTTATTCTATGCCAAGCGTTAGAAGTTAGACTGACCGGCCAGGGAAACGAGGCTGAGACAAAGTAAAAGTTACGCAAAGCCTTATTCTATGCCAAGCATTAGAAGTCAGACTGACCGGCTAGGGCTGCCTCTGAAGAGAGCGACGCCCCTTGGTCTTAACAGGCTAGTTTTTATAGGGCACAATTGCAGACATGTACATATGTGGCTTTGGCTGATTGGATGTCTCCTACCTGTGTGTTTTAGTAACGGTTACCTGGAACTGATATCAATAACTGTTGAGGCATTTATTAAACAACAAAATGTTTACCTAGGCAACATGGAGTCACTATGGGCCAGGCAGGCCCTAGGGGGTTAACATGTTTTAACGTGGAATCGACCCCAACACTCATTCACAACCTAGAACAGAGGGTCTTGGAGATCCCAGGACGTGAGGCATGATGAGAGGGTAGAATGATAGGAGGTGTCCTTTGGAAGGACTGTCTCCTTGACTTTAAAAGGGAGAACCCAAATCTGTAGGTGAAATCTTTTTGGCTACAAAGAGGGCCGAGGCCTCCTAAGGTCGAGGTCTCCTCATCACTTGCAAAGATGTCGAAGAACATATTCAGACATTTCAAAGATATCCTCATGTCCATCCGTTTGCACTCTGGAATTCTATCAATAAGGTGAGAATTCCTCTAGTTAAAAAAAAAAAAGATCTAAAATGACTTCCCTTTCTCATGTAATTTCTGTAACCTCCAGGACACGCCCACCTACCCCTTCCAGCGCTGTAATGAAGCCACAGCTGGTGCCAATTTGTGGAACTCATTAAAGGCCATTTTCCCTTATATACCCCCTGACCAAGTTCCCATGCTCCCTCACCTGATTTCCTGCACTCACCTCCCACCTGGTGTGTTCACACCTGCATGTGCCTTTTACCAACCCCTTTGCCAAAAGGCAGCCAGAGTGACCTTTCAAAGACCTATCAGTTCCTGGCATTTGTCTACGTAGAAACCTGCACTGATCTTCTAACAAATTCTCAGTCCTCCAAAGGCATCCATAGTCCTCCCATCCGTCTCTTCCTACCCCTCCCAACTGATTGATGCCTGTTCTGCCCAGTCTCTCTACCCTTCAACCACACTGCCTCCCTCTTCCTTTGTAGACCCCTCTTGGCACCTGCCTCCAAGCACAGGTGATTCCCATTGATGGGAAGACCCTCTTCCTCTCCCCCGTCTCCTCACTCCAGTTATTCCCACTTATTTGTGAGCTCACAAGCCCCATGGTACACACTCTCCATGCAGCCTGCTCTCTCTTTTCTTTCTAGCACTGGCCTCTGTTTCGCTGTGGTTGTGTCACGGATGTCCCTTCCCAGCCAGCCTCCAAGCTCTCCATCCGTTTAGCTCCAACACCTGACACAGTGCCTGGCACGTAGTAAGCCCTGGCTAGCTTCTAAGAGCCTCACTGAGTGACTGAAAGCCTTTTTAAAAATGTCACCACGTAGGCTTCAAACTGTAGGCAGAAAAAGCTTTGCCTGGATTGACATTTTAGAGACGTATTCGTTAAGTTAGATGTATTCACTGACTTTACCTTGTAAAATTAAAAAAAAAAAAAAAGGACCTCTGTATCGCTTCGCATCTAACAAAGGCATGTGTATACTATTAGACCACGTTATAAGCTTAATGGAAGGAGACAAGATTTTTTCGCTAAGAAAATGTATAAGACTGTTGAGGTCACGTGGGAGGAAAATAGTCCCTTCGTTGGAGCATTGCTATCTTACTCTATCACAGCCACTAATAAAAATCTGACACGGGGTGAGTCAGAATTGTCTGTCGGAGGTAAGTTAGATCTGGCTCATGTTCGTGCAGACATGAAAGCTGGGAACGAAGAAAGAGGATTTGAAAGCCTGGGTTGAGGAGGCTGTGTGGTTCACTGCGATGAGCTAAGTGCCCAGGGCCACCGGCAGACATGCGGGCCTGTGTCCTTCCTTTGTTCTGGGGTCCCTCTTGCACTATGTGGTGAGGCTGGCGGCTGGGAGCAGCTCAGGACAGGACTGGGTGGCATCTTACCTCTCCCACCCTCCTGTGGGCTCCAGTGGGTCCCAGGGGACAGCCTGCCTTCCTTGCAAAGCCCAGTAGCACTGGGAGCAGAAACTGGAACCAAAGAGTGAGCGCTCTGTTTGACAAGCCTGACCAGCCACTTCTTCAGATGCAAGGGGAGCCCTGGCATGCTGACTTCTCCCTTCTCCCTTAACCCTTCCCTCTCTTCCTCCTTCTTCCCTTCCCCTCTCTCCTTCCCTGGTGGTGCCCTTTCCCAATGCCCACTTCATCCCTTTTCCTTTCTTACATACCTGTCTTCTAGATTTTCTTCTCTTTCCTCCCAATTACTTCCCCTCATCTGAATCTCCTCTTTGGTCCCTTTGTCCCTGCTCTCCGCTCCTCCTCCCCTTCCCTGGCCCCTGTTCAGCTCCATCCTGACTGTAGGCAGAGCCGGACTAACACGCTCACTAGCTAGCTCTGCCACCCTCCAGAGAAGTCACTCTTCGGTGGCCACCTTCCTGACCCCCTGGTCCTTTCTCCACTCATTCAGCTATTGCTCTGAAGTCTGAGGAGGACAGAGCGGGGCTGTCGCAGAATTAGGCCAGAGGAGAAACCAAACCATGTGTCCACACCGCGCCCCCCCAAGCGCTGCTGCTCTGAGAGCTTTCTGAGTCCTCAACAGGGTTAGGACTTAGGGGCTTCTTCAGAACCGGGAGTGAAAACAGCCATAGGTCAAAAGAAAAGCTATGGCCCCCACACAATAATAATCACAAATGAAAACTAAGTTAACTCTGAAGTCCCAAATTCGAAGAATTGCCTTGAATCTGTCACTAGAAAGCACCCAAGGCCTCACTCTTTGGGCTCTGGGTGCCCTGGGAGTGGCAGGAGGCTCTGACCCCCTTCCCTCTTCGTTCGCTCCCAAAGAACGTCCTCTGAGGTGGTCTTCGAACTTCCTCGGAGAAACTCTCTCTGGGAACTGTATGCCCTCGGCTGCTGGGACTAATGAGGGTGATGTCAGGACCGCGCAACTGTTGGGCAGCTTTACCAGGAGATTGTGGCTTCTGGATGCGGTCCTCAGGTCCCATGATCTGGGTGAGATCTGGGTCTTCGAGTGTTGGAGGACAGATGAGATTTCAGATTTAGAGTTGATGCTGGAATGATTAGTGCTTTGGGGGGCACTGGGTGAAGATATTTTGCACATGGGAAGGACACAATTTGGGGGCCAGAGAGTGGACTGTTAAGGGGTGACCTGCATTTCCCCCAGAAACCTTGCTGCTGTTCTCATCTCTGATACCACAGAACATGACCTTACTTGGAACTAGAGTCCTTACAGATGCAATCACATTACAATGAGGTCGTTAGAGTGGGCCCTAATCTCCTGTAACTGACATCCTTATGAAAAGGGAAAATCTGGACAGAGAGATGCCCCTACGGTCAGTGGTGGGCAGTACATGAACTTCTAGAACCCTGACAATAGTGGAAAACAGACACAGGCTGGGCACTAGGTAAATGGGAGCTCTAGCGGAATTTCAGATGAAGATGCTGTGGACCTCGGCTTCCCATGTCATAGAGATGTTAGCCTGAAGCGCTCTTTTGACCCTGCAACCCCCGCTTTTCACCGTTCACTGACTTTTAAAGCTGGAAGGACACGTGGAGGCTCTCTGTTTACCCCTGAATATTACAGATTAGGGACAGGAGCCCCAGAGAAACAAATGACTGCACAGCCCACCTAGTTGGCTCTCACCTGTGGTCTCCAAGAGCGAGGCTGGGTGCCTTCTCCAAGGGCCACTGCGTGAGTTTATCCTGGTCCTTTCTCATGCCTTTTGAGAACTGTCCAGAAGATGTGCGTATAAATTAAACATCATTCTTGCTGCCATCAGTGAGATCCTTGTTGGTTAGTTGCCAGCTAATTTGGGGTGGCCTGTGCCTTGCTTGGAGTCCCCAGTCCAGGAGAGGTGAGGTGGCTTTGGGAGGAAAGGACCTCCTGGGACAGCAGAGCTCCAGCTGAGGGCCAGAAGAAGGTCCCTCTGCAGCCCCAGCCTGAGCTCCCATGGTTGCCCTTTCTGGTTTGGCCCTTCCTGTGCCTCTCGTCTCATCTGATATCCGAGCCCTGCCTGCTGTTTCCTGGGGCCTGTAAAAATAAACATTTTAATGCTTCCAAATGATTTGACTTCAGACTTAATAATATTATACCGTGCAGCTCCGAGAGCTCTCAGAAATCCTTTAGGACAACTTCCTCCTTCTAGACCAGTATCAAATAACCAGGGTCAGCCCTCTTCCAAATGATCCATCAGGGCCTCGAAAACAGCCATCCGGGCCTCGAAAACAAAGGTGATTGACTGCGAACCACAAGGAAGGCGCAGGGTCAGGCAGAGCACGTCGGTCACCACGTGGGCCTGGGTCGGTGAGCGAACTTGGCAATGATGCGCCTGGAAGAACTTCCTCCAGGGTCTGATCCCCATCAGAGGCTCCAGCAAACATGATTCAAAGTCCTGAAGGTGCCTCCCTGGCTGGTCATGAATCTTTTTCTTTTCCCAATTGCCCTTTGGCTTTGCGGCCGTGACTCAGAAAATGAGAAGCCTAAATTCATTGTCCCCTTCCCATCAGAACTTCCATCTATTATCAGAGATTTCAGACAAAGCAAGAAACTTTGGGCGGCGAGATAGGTGCTGTCATTGGCTTGGCTCTTCCTGTTCGCCTGACAGGAAACATGCTCAGGTGTGACCCAGAGTTGGGTCAGGGTCAGAGGGTCAGAGCGGAGTGGACAGGGTTCCCACTCCTGGCCTCACCAGAACATCTCTCCTAGGTCTCCTGGACTGCAGGTTACAGGGGAAGGAGCCTGAAGCAGCAAGCACTTACGTGAGTCATCCAAGGTCACACCCTTGGACTTGTTCAAGGTCAGACCGCTGCTCTCCGTAGCAGTGTGTCAGGGAGAGCCAAGGCCTTCTGCACCCAAGCCCACTGTGCCTTCCTTTTGACTATGCTGTCGGCATCCTTGCTGCCACTCTTGGTGTAATTCTGCCTTTCCCAGCAATGTCCTCCGTTTCTTTCCTCTCATGCTTGTGTTTCTTTAGGAAACAGAACTTACTTGTCTCGAATGCAGTGGGTGGTGTCTGCATGGATCTTGTTGAGGGTTGTTTAGAAACCACCTCCCCCTTGGCCCCTCAACACGCACACCCCAGCTCCCCAGGTGCTGCCCAGCCCATGGACCTGAAATTCCACTGTTGGCATCTGCTAATGTACACCCCACACCCCTGGTGGGGCATGTTTTAAAGTATTACTGTCCAGCTATACTTCAGTGAAAATGGAATTGCGGAGACAAGGCTGCAGGGGGCGGCGGGGGGGGGGGATGGGGAGGAACTTGAGGTGGCCTCTGCCACCCACTCTCCCCGCAGCCAGGAACCAGAACGAGAAGGATGGAAAGGAAAAACTCAAAAACCAAACTCCGTGTGTCTGCCCGGACATATCTTAAGCACACTAATATGTCGTGTTCTTTCTCATCTCTTAGCCTTCACCCGTGCTGTTCCTTCTATCTACAATGCATTCCCCTACACAACCCCTTCTCCTGGCTCGCTTTAGCTCCTCCTTCCAGGCCCAGCTGTCAGTTCCCCTGCAGGCTCTACTCTCCTGCTGCTCTTCCCCTCTGCCCCCGGCCCTGTGCACCCCAGGCTGGGCAGGGGCTGCCCCTCTCATTTCCATATCATTCTGCCCTTCTGTTACTGAACTCTGGGTGCCCTGTGGTGTAAGTGCCTATTACCTGGGCTGCAGAAGCCCTGCCAACTCAGGGTGGAATTAGCACAAGTGGTTCTTACTTTCTTTACATGGACTTAAATCCATATTCGAGTCTGTATTCTACTGGGCTGCTAGGAGATTCCATCTCAGTCTGACCTGGGAGCCCTGGTCCCCTCTTTAGGGTCATACAAGGATGTGAGAGGATGATGTGCTGCTGGGACAACCAGGGAGGCAGCTCGGTAGGCATTGATATCCTCAGGGTCTGAGCCATAGAAAACCCCTGAGCTCCAGCAACCCTCTGCTTTGGGGCCAGGGACACATTGTGGGTATCTTTGCTAGTGCAGGGAAGTCCCCTTTGTGCATTCCCTGATGTGGTCTTGCTACCTCTGGGCCCTGCCAGGGACCAGGGCGTTGTCCCTGCTTGTGCGACTGCAGACGTCTGTCCCCACTTCCTTGGGAGGATGCTGGCAGAAGGCCGTCTCTGTTCATCCTCACTCCTCTGGGCCACTTCATTTAATCTCCCTAGTGACGAGGCTGTCGTAAAACAAACAGATGTTCCCTTCACACTTCACACACATTCTCCTCTGGGCATTTTCAGCACCTGCCAGGCAGAGACCTGTGGAAAGCCCAGACACATTCTAGAAAGGAGACAGTGAGGGAGAACCAACGTAAATGAATATATCAATAAATTGTCTTGATGTGCTCGTTTGGATCCCCAAAGGCATTTCCTGGGCCTAGTGCCTTATCCACAGTGTTTTCTTAATTCAGCTTAAGTTGACTCTTGGCTGATTTAAGGCTTACACTTAGGGTTTTGTAGGTTGTGCACTGCACAAATCTAGAGGGCTCCACTCAAACGGATTTGGTTCTTCATTAACATAGTTTTCTGGCAGATGTCTGGTCAGGTGTCTTGGAGTGTGAGCTCTTTTCTACTTTGAACAAATTCTTCAGATCTAGTGGTGGCCTCACAAGGCCTATACCTTTTTCTGTTTTTCCTCATTTGGTTTCTTAAATGCAACTAGTAATAAATAAGAAGCAAAATTTTGGGAAGTGAAAAATCACTTTTTGTTTGATGATAATCCCAGGAGATTGCTCACTTTATTAATTTACCTAGACCACAGCCAGAAGCTTAATATTTTAAAATGATTAAAAAAAAATTACAGAGGAGTGGGAAACATGGAGAAAAGAAGAAATCTGGATCATGTCATTCCTGCTCAAAGTTATAATCAAATTATACCAAAGAGGGGTGCCTGGGTGGCTCAGTGGGTTAAAGCCTCTGCCTTCAGCTCAGGTCATGATCCCAGGGTCCTGGGATCCCCGCATTGGGCTCTCTGCTCAGCAGGGAATCTGCTTCCCTCTCTCTCTGCCTGCCTCTCTGCCTACTTGTGATCTCTGTCTGTCAAATAAATAAATAAATAAAATCTTTAAAAAAAATCATGCCAAAGAGTCATGGGTACCACATCTGCATATCCATAGTTATGTAAAACTCCGAGTGTCTGTAGATCTCTACAAGTGAACTGTCTAAAATATAGTGTGGTTTTTGTTGTTGTTGTTGTTTTAAGAAAAGTTTGTCTTAATCTCTTTCTTGGTGCTATCTGACCCCATTCCTTCCTGTTTTGTTTCCAGTGACGAGGGTAGCTTGCATCGATAGGAAGACAGTTCTCAAAGGACACATCTGTGCTCTTACATTAAAATAATCTCCATTTTTTTGTCTTGTTTTGTTTTGTTTTTTACAGATCAGATGGCAAAGGAGCCAGTGGAAGACACAGACCCTAGCACGTTATCCCTTAACCCAGTAGGTTACAATCTTTACATCAGTAGTGACAACTCTTGTTATTTCTTTTTTCCCTTTGTTATGTTTTTATTGCTCAGTATTTACACAAAGATCAGAAACCCCAAAGTCAGGTTTTTCCAAGATAAATTTCTTTATCGCGGTGTTCTCTGTGATGTAATGAAGTTTGGGTTTCTCAGGGCTAAAAATGGTATTAGATTCTGTTCTTGTGATCTTCTTAGATTATATCAGGTCTTTGTATTCTTGCCTATTAATACTTGTCAGTCTTCTGTTTAACTTCCCCTTCTTCAAAGTTCAAAATATTTAGTGTGAGATGGAAGGCTAAAACAGGACTAGTATACAGTTACTGGGGGCCAGCGGGCACAGATGTTTGATTCACTCATGTTACTGCATTTATTCCCTGCAATAACCCTGTAAGGTAAGCACTGCCCATTTCACACATGAACAACTGAGACTCAGGGGTTGGAGTAAGTAGCCCACATTGGAAGCAACCCAGGTGGGAGGCAGACCCAGCAGCTGGCTTCCGGTCCCTGCCCGGCCCTCCCAGAACCACCCTGTGGCGTGTCTGCTGCTTAAGGCTTACCAAGGACTTCAATACATGCTTCTTCATCCTCCAAGTAATCAGTGAGATGGGAGGACAGCCACCCCATTGTACAGATGAAGCGATGAAAGTTCACAGATTCATAAAAAGTCACCCAGACGGGAGCCCTGCTCTCCTGTGTGGTACTGTCTCTTGGTTATGACCAAATCCACGCCTCTGGCAACATTACATGTGTTATAGTGCATATAGGGGGTGACACACTCCTTTAAAAAAAATAAAAGAGTGTTTGGAGGAGAAGAACTGCACAGCCCAAGAAAAATCCTTATCAATGTAGTTAGAATGATGTAAAAGACACACATCAATATAATTTGATGAAATGTCCTGAAGTCTTTGGTGATTCACGAGGCACCTCACTGTCTTGAGGGATTTGTCCTTAAGTCTTGAGTCCCCACTGCATAGTTCATTGGGGGCAGCACTGGGGACAAAGCTGGACACGCAGTGGAAATCAAGAGGAAAACATCCTCTGTCCTTGCATTCCAGAAAGACAGAGCATGGGCCAGCCCTGGGGCTGTTGCTCCCCATTCCCTGTGCTGTGCTCCTGAACGAGGGCCTTTGGCTGCTAGAAGGTGCCCTCAGTTTGTCCTTCCAGTCCCCTACCAAGCACCCGACCCGCACTGCTCTTGGACTCCTCTCTTCCCGCCTAGGGTCACAGCCATCTCCACCTCCACTCACTTCTCCGTGCCGGGGCACAGTGATTTCCCCAAACCTTCCCTAGGTTGGTTTGCTGGGTCTGCCACAACAGAAGACCACACAGCGGGTGACCTAAGTGCTCCCCATGTCTGCAGGTTGGAAAGGGCAGGGCCCTTCTCGTCCCTCCAAAACTGGTGGGGAAGAATCCTTTCCTGTCTGTGGTGGTCGGCAACCCCTAATGGTTCTCAGCTTCCAGTTGCATCCCTCCAGTGTCTTTGCTGCCTTGGCCCGTGGCCAGATTCTCCCTGTGGGCGACCATCTCTGTGTCTCTTCTCTTGTAAGGAGAGCAGTCCTGTTGAATTGAGGCTCCCTTACCCCAGTGGGATCTCATCCTCCCTAGTCCTCTATCTAAGTCTATAGATGTCTAGCTACCCTATTTTCTTTTTTTTTTTTTATTAAACGTTTTTTTTTTTTTTTAAGATTTTATTTATTTATTTGACAGACAGAGATCACAAGTAGGCAGAGAGGCAGGCAGAGAGAGGAGGAAGCAGGCTCCCCGCTGAGCAGAGAGCCCGATGCGGGGCTCGATCTCAGGACCCTGAGACCATGACCTGAGCTGAAGGCAGAGGCTTTAACCCACTGAGCCACCCAGGCGCCCCTAGCTACCCTATTTTCAAATGAGGTCCCAGGTAGAGGTACTCAGGGTTAGGACTTCAGCACATTTTTGGTGGGGAGATGCATGTCAGCCCAGAACATTCCAGGGGCTCCTGGGATGAAATCTGTGCTCCTCATCATGGCAGATGAGGTCCTCCATGACCTCATCTCAGCAGCCCTCCTGATGAGCCAGTTGTGTGTAGCTCTTTGCTGCACCTGAAACACCCACACCTTCTCACCTTCCAGGGATACTAACACTGTTCCGTGCAGCGAGGAAAATCTCCCAGCTTCCTCAACTAAGGAACTCGTGTGCTTCCTCCCAGGCGATGCTTTCTTTGCTTCACCCTGGGGCCTTGGTAGTGTCCTTTCTCTACAGCCTAAACCCTACTTTTTAATCACACTGTGCTGGAATTGTTTGCTTGTGTGAGTTCCTGCAAGACTGTGTTGAATGTCTTCCCATATTCAGCGCTGGACACAAAGCAAAGGTGGATGGGCCAAGCTTCCCAAGAACCTGGAATGGCACCCACCTAAATCTTTTCACCTTGCTTCCAGAATCTTCCATGTGAACTGGCTCTGTCATTTCCTATCCTCCCCTGTCCTCCTCCAGTGTGCCTCTCTGCTTCTACACTTGTCACACTTCACACCACCTGGGCTTGCTCCCCTGGGCCCACCACCTGTGACCACCGTGCTCCTTCCTCTTGGTCACCCGAGTTCTTGGGCATTCTGCACACCAATTTCAAATGTCAGTCTCTCCAGGAGACCTGCATTTGCTCCAGCCTGGGGTTCCCTCACACAGACTTCTGGTAGATATTTATTTAACACTGAGTCAAAATGCGGGGCTGCAAAGATCATAGTTCCTTTTTCTTAAAAAAAAAAAAACAACTCATGAGTCTATCTGAGGAAATAGGCAAGTCCATACTTTAAAAACAGCCTGATAAGTGTTACCGTACAGGTGTGTTTTCTGTGCTCCGGGGACCAGACTATCTAGAAGAATCTAGTCTCAGGGAGAATTTGACTTTAAGTTCTCCATGACTGATGACTGATTGATTTCTTCTGTGGAAGAGGAGTTTAAGGCTTCTAGATGTTCTGAAACTTCACTGTTCGGCTCCAAAGAAACTCTAAGGAAGGAGTTTTAAAACAAAATCCTTGGTTCCACATTTGTTTGTTTTTCTCTTCTGTCAGAGGAAGACATGCGTGAGACCTACAGGCAAGTTGGAAGGTGCAGCCTTTTTTTTTTTTTTTTTTTTTTAAGCCTGGAGGCATGGATCCAAAGGCCCAGATGGGGAGTGGGAGCTGTGCAGGGGTTAGGGACAGGATAGGGAGACTGTTCACATTCCTACTCTGCTCATGGAAGTCATCCGAGAATGACCACATTGTTTAATCGGAAGTCAGAGTTTCCAGAATACCTGCATGGAGGTACCAGGAAAGAAATATGTGATTGCAAGAGCCTTTGATATTTTGAATTCCCTCCTATGGTACTGCCGCCAGCCAGTGCAATGAGCAACTGTGTACCACTGTGCTCAGTGAGTAGATCTTTGTAGATCTTTGTGCGGTCGGTAGGCTGGTTGGCTTTTGAATCCTGTCTACTCACTCCAGGACATAGCTCTACATGAGTGAGATACAGCCTGGCCCACGGGCTTGTTGAGCCAAAGGAATGCCACAGAAATGGGGACAAGAATGGGTCTATCCCCATAATTCACGATAACAAATGCTCCTCAATTTTAAACTACAGGAAATGGGTGGTGGGGGGGGAATAGCCCAGCAGAAAAGAGAGGAAGTGTGGTTTAGCGGTCAGAGCTGAAGCAGTTTGGAAGCCTTATTCTGTCTCATGTTCCAACATTAACTTCTTGTCAACCTTGATTCCATTTTTATAGACTGAGGATAAAAATGAACAATGGGTCAGGCCTGTTGATAAATCCATGGCTAGAAACTTGCAAGGCTTTAAACTAAAATTATGACTTTCCCCAAACAAAGATTTCTTTTCACTTTGCTCTTATAACTGAACTATGGGGTTTAAAAATAACTCTCTTCTTTTGTTGGTTTCCACAGTCAGACAAATATCCCATTCAAGATACGGGACTCCCTAAAGGTATGTACACTTAATATAACTACTTGAACTTGTGATTATTTTAATGTCTTGAACAAAGCACTAGTGAAAGTCATCTCTTGTTCCTTAAAGTTGTTAAACAGAAACATACTGACAGTTTAGCTTTTGACTTGTTGACTCTCTCGGGCATGGATTTTCTTATTAAAATGTACAAATTATTTCATTACAAATTATACATTAAATCCCTGTGGCATTTTTAAGATGCATAAAATGAAGAGAACCAGCGCTCTGTGTTGCAAATGACAGAAACCTAACCCAAGCTCATTTTTAAAAAAGGGATGGGACATACTGGCTTAGGCTCTTTGGATACTGCGAGGTGCAAATTTGAAGGATGTTCTCAGGCTCCGTCTCTGTGTGTCTCTCATCTCATCTCTCTGTCTTCATCTGTGTTGGCTCCATTTTGGGGCAGGCTTTCCCTTCATGGCCGGAAGGATGGTCACCAACACCTCCGGCTCTACACGGTGCCCATCAAGATGGCAGAGCAAGGTCATGCCTTTCCCCTAGCGCCCACGGCACAATTTCTAGGGATGGCTGTCATATGGGGAGTTTGGGTCACATGGCCATCCGTGACTCCGTTGTTGCCCTTAGGAGGATGGAGGACGTGGGTCAGGTTTGCACCTTGAGGTTGGGTGGGGGAGGGCATGGAGTTATTCTACCCAAACCACAGGAAAGAGGCCTCTGTTACTAGACAGAGGGGCAAAGGATGCTTGTCAGGCCCCAAAGCAAAACAAAACAAAAACAAATCCAAAAAACCTATCTTTTGTAATTCACAGACTAACGGTTTAGCCATGGTGTAGACATGGCCAGGCTCAGTCTCTCGTGATTTCTTCTGTGGGGCAGTCTGTTGTGGGGTCATCTGGTTGCCCTCTTGAGTCTTTACCTTGTGCTCCGCTGACAGGCCTGAGAGGAGGGGTGGACGGGGTGAGGGACAATCTGATCTGAGCAGCTTCAGAGATGGCATGGGCCCCCAGCTTCCTGGAAAGGTGGGACTTCCCAGCACCTGCCGCTGTGGGTTTTCCTGGCAGTTCTTGTGACCGGGTAGCCGTAGGGTCACCCAACTGGAGGGTGAGGAGGGAGCTCCTTACCAGGGTCCACTTGGGGTTAGGTCCAGGGTTCTGCGAAGGTTCCCCTCCCTCCAGTTCTTACTGGCCAGACTCTTCTCCTTACACCCAGAAATTAAACCTCCAGCGTTTCATTCCTTTTGCCGTCTGTGCATGTCCTGGGAGTGGCAGTGATGTGGAAAAAGGAGACTGAAGGCCAGGTTTGAATCCAAATCCTGGCTGTATTCGGGGAGGCTTGTGGCAAGCTCCCCTTCCCCTAGTGGTGAGTGATTTCTAAGTGTCCCGATCCTCCAGTCCATGATTCGATTCTCTAGTTCAGCCAGAAGGTAGAAGACGCAAACCAGGCAACCAGGGGCATGGGAGGCAGTCTCAGGTGGTGTTGCTTCGACTTCAGTGTGCAGTGAAGAATTATTGAGGGCGTGGGGGAGCTGTTGAAAATCCAGATTCTGGGCTCAGTGGCTTTGAAATCACCATGTGGCAGGTGTGGGGCTAGACCCAGGAACCTGTAAATGCATATCTGAGCGGCTGGGAGGCAGACCTCACTTTAACCTAAGAAGCTCAAGGATTTGGTATGTCCACAAGGGAGGCAGATAGACAAGAGAACCAATCTGTAGCCAGACCACTAGCTGGACTCTGAGTGACCTTAGAATGGTGGCTGCACCTCTCAGGGTCTCAGTTCCCTGTCTCCCAGTGCAGGAAGGACAGTGTTTTCCTCTTCTCCCAGGATGCTAAGGAGAATCCAATGAAATGAGTCCAGGATGGAGCCTGACACAGGCGAGCCAGATGGTGGAGGGAAATCAGAAGAAGGAAATGTGCAAACTCAGGCTTGAGGATGCTTTCCCAGTCCCATGGCAAGAATGGCACTGCTTGAGACAACCGCTGAGCTGCAGTGACTCTGAAAATGCAATGTCATGGTTTGATCTGTCTAAAAGATCTTTTTTAACACCCTTAAAAGTGATTTCCTGTTTTGGAGGGGAAAAAAAAAAAGAAGACTGGTTGTTTAGCAACCCGATACTGCAGTAACTGTATCATTGGGTTTCTCCTGGAATTTGAGATTCACAAAACCTTAATTAAACTGGTGAAGATTTTACAAGTAACATGACTGTGAAAACCACATTTATGGGAAATGTGACTAGTCTTCTATCTTGATTCACGGAGAACTGTCTAACTAAGCACTTGACTTTTTTTTTTTTTTAAGATTTTATGTATTTATTTGACAGAAAGAGAGATCACAAGTAGGCAGAGAGGCAGGCAGAGAGAGGGAGGAAGCAGGCTCCCTGCCGAGCAGAGAGACTGACGTGGGGCTCGATCCCAGGACCCCGAGACCATGACCTGAGCTGAAGGCAGAGGCCCAACCCACTGAGCCACCCAGGTGCCCCAAGCACATGACTTCTTATCTCTAAAGAAATACATCATCTTATACATAATGTCTAGAAGTTTATAAACTTACTCTACGGGTGCCTGGGTGGCTCAGCTGGTTAAACATCTAACTCTTGGTTTCAGCTCTGGTCATGATCTCAGGGCCATGGGGTCAAGCCCCTGTGTCAAGCTCTGCTCAGCGCGATGTCTCTTTGAGATTCTCTCTCCCTCTGCCCCACCTGCAACTCACTCACACGCACACATGCATGCTCCCTCTCTCTCAATAAACAAATAAACGAATCAAATCTTTTTAAAAAACTTCAACATTTGCATTCAGTAATATCTATGACTTGGGATGCCTGGGTAGCTCATTCAGCTAATTATTTTCCTTTGGCTCGGGTCATGATCCCAGGGTCCTGGGATCGAGCCCTCCATCAGGCTCTCTGCTTGGTGGGGAATCTGCTTCTCCCTCTGCCTCTGCTGCTCCTCCTGCTTGTGTGCTGTCTCTGTCTCTGTCAAATAAATGAATAAAATCTTTTAATAATAATAATAATAATATCATCTATGACCTGATATTTGCTAGTATTTTTAAAAACCTACCAATGGGGCCAATATCACCATTAAACATTTATGGTAATTTTTTTATAAACATATAATGTATTATTAGCCCCAGGGGTACAGGTCTGTAAATCGCCAGGTTTACACACTTCACAGCACTCACCATAGCACATACCCTCCCAAATGTCCATATTATGGTAATTTTTTCATCATAAATGTTTTTAGGGGAAGAACCCATATGAATCAGTGCAGAAACAAAGTATAGATTCAAAAGCAAATATAATCTAATTAAGTCCAAACTTGGACTCTAACGTTTAAGTGAATTTTAGGGGGTCCTGCTTTCTTTAACAGAGGATTTACCTGTAATTAGCTTCAGTGGTTTCCATATGCTTAAAAAGTCTTCAAAATTTATTTTTTTAAGCAGACTAACCGTGTTTCACAAAATATGATGCTTCTAGTATATTCCTGCTGTCTCCATGGGCAGTATAAAACCATTCCTCACACGGTCCTGAATGGAGGGGTTCTGAATTAGCTGCTTTCACCATAAATCAACAGTGAAGTCTAACGCAGCTCTAATGACCAGCCTGTTTTTGAGATGAAACATGCTGCTAAACTTGTTTTCTTATCAAGAACAAATGTGTAGCTTCCGCCTCCCCTGATTTTAGAGATTTCAGGGCTTCATTCTGTCGGGCCTCTTTTCTGAGAGCTATTCTGGGAGAGTCTGCTGGCACTAAACTCAGGACTAATATAAGAGTGGGGTTCATCTTATTAAGGTTTTTTATTTGAGTATTGTTGACATGTAATGTTACATTAGTTTCAGGTGTAGGGCATAGTGCAAAACAGCATGGAGCTTCCTTAAAAAAATTAAAAATAGGGGCATCTGGGTGGCTCAGTGGGTTAAGCCTCTGCCTTTGGCTCAGGTCATGATCTCAGGGTCCTGGGATCGAGCCCCACATCGGGCTCTCTGCTCAGCCGTGAGCCTGCTTCCCCCTCTGTCTCTGCCTGCCTCTCTGCCTACTTGTGATCTCTCTCTCTGTCAAATAAATAAATGAAATCTTTAAAAAAAATTAAAATTAGAATTACCATATGCTCCAGTAATTCCACTATTGGGTATTTACCCAAATAAAACAAAAATGCTTATTCAAAAAAATATATCCACTCATGTTTATAGCACCATTATTTTCAATAGCCAAGCTTTGGAAGCAACCTGAGTGTCTGCGGACAGATGAATGGATGAAAAGATGAGGGGTGGAGTGTGAGTGAGTGAGTGAGTGTGTGTGTGTGTGAATGAATATTACACAACCGTTAAAAAGGATATGATTGTACAGTTTGCGACATGAGTGGGGCTTATTTTATATCAAAGAGCTCCTGATATCTTAGAAATTGCTGGCTTAAGTGTTTTGAAGGAAATGTGACTCTTCACAATTTGAGAGAAAGTGTGTTTGGGAAAAAATTCTCATTTTTGAACCACTACTCCCAGTGAAGGGAAATTTTTGCATATAAATACATTATAAAGTAATCAGGATTTTATCTTCTTTTTCTCTAGGGTTCCTGCTCTTTTATTGTTTAAAAAATTTTGTGGTGAATTTTAAGTTAAAGAGAAGTAAAGTAGACTAATTCTATTGTTGCTAAATTTGAGGCATCTGAACTCAAACGTAGATAATACTTGGGGGAATGTTTTAGAGCAATTTGTCAACTAAATGTAGAAGTAGTGGTTCAGTTTGAAAAAGTGAGGAGAAAAATATGAAGGAATTCACTAAAATAATTCAGAAGTAAAAATACTTGCCCTAAAACTCACAAGACAATATGCTGTACTATATATGATCTTTCCCCTCATAGATTGAAGCATTTTGTTAATAGGCTTCCCTGTTCTAAAAGGAAGCCAAACACCCCTCCTGCCTGCATGATTTGCTGTGTCCTGGTCCTGCTCGTTCCATAAGTTCATGGCCTCCCACTCAACCTTGACTGGAACTCCTATTATAATAAACTCCCAAATCAACCGTC